AACTGATTCCTATGGAATGATCTGTTTCAAGGTTTCATGAGTTTCAAGAGGAGATTGTTTTTTTAAAAAATAGCCTCTGGCCCGGCACAGTGGCTCACACCTGTAATCCCAGCACTTTGGGAGGCCGAGGCGAGATGATTGCCTGAATCCAGGGGTTCAAGACCAGCCTGGGCAACTTGGCGAGACCTTGTCTCTACAATAAATCAAAAAATTAGCTGGGCGTAGTGGCACGTGCCTTTAGTTCCAGCTATTTGGAAGGCTGAGACAGAAGGACCGCCTAACTTACCAAGAACCAATGAGCTGTGAAAACCATTCTAAATGGCAAACAATAATACTATTTCAGTTATGTTTAGTATTAGGCAGGAATAGTTACCATCACTAGACATATTTTATGTTTTTGGAGATAGTGCAAGCAAACAAAATGATTGGAATAAGAACTAGAAAATAAAGTAAAAAAACCCCTCCATTTCTAATAATATAATTCTATTGCTAAAATGCCTTATAAACTAATTAATTTTACAGTTTCTTAATATGGCTGAAAACATATGGATGCAGGGAAAATTCATAGCTTTTCACTAACATAAGTATCTAGAAGTGGAAAGGGAGAAAACATTCCATTCACCCTAAGAACAAAAAATATAAAAAGACATAGAATGAATCTAACAAGAAAACAAAACTTAGAGTAAAGCAAACTATAAAGCCTTACTAAAGATATTTTTCAAAAATTAAAGATATGATGTAATCTTAGGTAAGAAGACAATATTTAAAATGTTATTTCTCTTAAAATTGATGCCAAACTTTAATACAGCCCTAATTAGAACTCTGAAAAATCTTGTTTTGAAAATTTGACAGAATGATCTTAATTGTCATATATAAGAATAAACCCCTGAATACAGCCATGAAAAGTTTTAAAATGTATAGTAATGAATACCCTTTTTACCTGAAATGATAAAGACATTGTACTTAACTAAATAACAATAATAGCTAATACTTCTGAGTACTTGTTATGCAACAGGTATTGTAATTACTTATTGAATTTTAAATATCAACCATGAGAAGCTATAATTATGATTTCCATTTTACAAAGACATAAGAAATTAAGGAATTTTTAACATTTTCCATAGTCAGTAGTATAAACAGCATATGAATCACAGACTTCCTGAACCCACAGTTCAAAGTTAAAACTGTTAAACTGTAAGAAATAATATAGAATGCAGTGAAAGACTGAAGAATTCAGAAGGTTCCAACATAAATGAGTATTTGACATATTAAAAATACCAGAGGAGTGGTGGCACAATTAAAACACAGTGGTGCTTGACTAACTTTTTATCCACAAGGCCTCACTTAGAAGGTGAATTTTGAGGGGAAAAAAACCCAAAGAAATAAAAGATCTTGAGAATTTCAAGCAGAAGGAAAAGGAAGTACAAAGGCCTTGAGACTGGTATGTGCCTGTCTTGCTGCAGGAGGGTGCAAAGACTGTCATCGCTGGAGTGAAGGAGATTGAGGGAAGAATTATAGGAGATGGGAATAGAAAGCTAAGAAAAGACCAGGCCAGTAGAGCCTCCTGGCCAGTCAGGACTTTGGCTTTTACCCCGAGTAAGATGGGAAGCTGTGGAAGAGTTTCCAGCCAGGAGCTATGATTTACATATGTGAAAGATGGCCCTGACCACCTAGGAAAGCAGATAGAAGGCCATTCAATATCTTGAGAAAGAATGTCCATGCTTTAGATGAGGGTAGTGGCAGTGGGAAAGAGAGGAGTGGTTCTGAATATATTTTGAAGGTAAACCAATAATATTTTCTGACCACCTGAATGTAAAGTGTGTAAGTCAGAGAGAGAGAGAAGAGGTGTCTAAGAATTTGGCCTAACAACCAAGTGAGTGGAGTTGCCATTGTTTGAGATGAAGATCACAGGATCTGGCAAAGAGGGGGTGGAATAGAAGGGACTCGTCTTATTCTCGCTGACTTGAGATGCCCATTTGATGTCCAAGTAGAGATGTCAGGGAGACAGTTGGACAGACAAGTCTGAAGTTCAAAGTCAGGTCAAGTGCAGGTTCAGGCATTCTGGGTTGGAAACTTGGATGCTATAATCCTTAGCAGGCACATGCCTTTTAGAGTCATAAGACTGGATGATATCACCTAGGAAGTGAAGAGATTTGAATATTAATCCTTTGGTATGTCAACATTCAGAAGTCAGGGAAATGACGAAAAGTTCAAAAGAGCATGAAAAGAACCAATGAGGGAGGCCCAAGGAATGACGGTGATGTGTGTCCTGGAAGCCAGGGCTTTGAGGAGGAGAAAGTGGTCAATTGTGTCAGTAGCTTACAAGTTAGGACATTGAACAAAGGGGGCCTCTGCTAACCTCAAGAAGAGTAGTTTTGGTGGAGGAGTGGGGGTGAAAGCAGGACAGGAATGAGTGTAAGAAAGAATAGGAGAAAAATGAAAGCATAAAGAATACTTTCAAGGGAAGAGGATAGACAGTTTTCTAAAGATAAAAATCATCTTTGTCTCAACATGAATAGCCCTCTCTCAAATGCAACCACAAGCAGGGAAACATGAACTAAACTATCAATGAGGCAGCACTTTATATTCTTAAGGGGATCGACATCCAAGAAAAAATACTTTATGCTTTCAGAGAAAGGAAGAAAGGACGCACTCATACATTGTAATGGGAATGAAAATTCTGAAACTTTTTTGGAAAGCAATTTGGCAATATCTATTTACTTTTAAAAAAATTTGTACATTGTCAATCCCGCCCTTAGATATCTGTCCTGTCATTTTTTTTTTTTTTTTTTTTTTTTGAGTTGGAGTCTCACTCTTGTCAACCAGGCTGAAGTGCAGTGGCACGCTCACAACCACCACAGCCTCAGCCTGCTGAGCTTAGCCTCCTTCCACCTCAGCCTTTCAAGTACCTAGAACTACAGAGGCACACCACCAAGCCCAATTAGTTTTTGTGATTTATTGTAGAGACAAGGTCTCACCAAGTTGCCCAGGCCGGTCTCCCAGTCTCAGGCAATCCTCTCACCTCTGCTTCCCAAAGTACTGGGATTACAGACTGAGCCACCAGACCTGGCGTTTAAAGTCAAACATATGTTAATAAAGATACATAGGAACCTTTATTATTACATTGTTTATAGTAATAGCTCACTGGAAACACTTCTAGTCAATCCTCATTATTCACTGCTTCCATATTTGCAAATATACCTAAGTGATACAAATTTATCTGTAAGTCCCAAGGTAGTACTCATGGCACTTTTGCAGTCATGCTTGGGCACAGTGGCAAAATATTTGAGTTGTCCAATGTTTGCATTCCTAGCTAAAGTGGAGCAAAGCAATATTCTGCTTTTTTGTTTCAATTGTTATACTGTAAACAACTGTGCTTTTTGTATTCTATTTAGTGCCACAATTTATGCATGTCCATGCTTTATGTTGGTGATTTTACTATTTAAAATAGCCACCAGACATCCTAATGAAGTACTATACAGTGCTCCAAGTGCACAATGGCTGTGAGTGCCTTACAGAGAAAATACATGCTTTAGATAAGCTTTTCTCAGGCATAATTTATAGTGCTGATGGCCATGAGTTCAATGTTAATATATCAACAATATGCATTCAATAAGGTGTCTTTGAACAGAAACACACATAAAACAAGGTTATCTGTTGATCAATTGACACCAGACTTTCAACCAGAGGTTCAAAGGAACCTAACCTTGAAACTCCTCTAGGATCAGCGGTTCAGTATTCACTAATTCAGTATGTGTGGTGACATCATAAAACATAACTGCCATAAATATCAAGAATGGATTATTACTTTTTGGTAAGAATTGAGTGAGCAAATTAAGGTATATCTCCAGGTGTGGACCATGGGATATTGTGAAATCTTTAAAGATCACAAATTCTAGGGAATCCAATTTCTTGGGAGTCATTTCCTTAAGGTATTGTTGCATGATAAAACCAAGGTGCAAAGATATATAATATAATGTCATTCCTAACTCTTGTCATATTTCTATGTGTTTTCATGAGGTTGTCTGAGCATGTATAGAATGATTATACTAGGTTGACAAGGAAGGGCTTTTTAGGGTAGGCACTGGTGTCTGTGTAGCAGTGTCCTTACAGTGCAGAGGGCAGAATGAGTTAAAAGGAAACAGCATGGTTGATGATATCATTTATGTAGAATGACTTACATATACACAATGGAATATTACACAGCCACAAAGAAGGACAAAATTATGAACTTTGCAGCAGCTTGGATGAACTTAGAGTCTATAATATTCAGTGATCTATCACAGAAACAAAGAACTGAGTGCCACTTGTTCTCACTCATAAGTAGACCCTGAACAATTATCCTAATACTATAAGAAAGGGATTGGGGGAAGTGGGAAACTGTCAGGGGAGTGGCAGGGTTGGGGGCACACTTCATCTATAAGCATACCTGATCTCAAACCAGGTGAAGTGGGGACCAAAGTGAGGCCCAAACTTTACCTGTACAAGGACCATTTGTATACCTAACCCTAAATTGTACCCCGTATCTTTAAAATAAAAATAAATTTACAGGGAAAAGTGATAGTTAGGGCTCTATACACTGACTTGTAAGACTGCCCATAATAAAGCAAAAGCAAGCTGCAAAATAATGTGTATAATGTGACTCTGCTGAATAAATGCTTCTAAGTATTCATATGAGTGATTTAAAAGGTCTTTAAATATATCAAGAGGTTAGAGTCTTGTGGGAAAAGATTATTTGTTTTTAATGCTTATATCTTTGTATTTGTTTCAATGGGTGAAATAAGTATGTTTTGCTGAAATTTGAATAAAATGCAAACAAAATGTGGAAAAGCATCAGTTAACTAAATATTGTTCAGTTAACAAAGAACAGATCTAACTATTTTAGTATGTCCTATTTATCCAAAATTTTAAAATGACACCCTCAGGCAATGTTTTATTACAAGATCCTGACTTGTTATATGCAATACTTATAAATTCTTGTTTTTGTTTTTCCATTCCAGGAATCATTAAGAGCCATCAGATATGAAATATCTCCAGATAAAGAATATGCACTTTTTTCATATAATGTGGAACCAGTGAGTACTACCCTTTTCTGTCTACAAAAGAATTGTTTCTTTATTCTAATGCCTCATTAAGTATATTTTCTTGAATCTTATTTCTTAGTGATCTTTAAAAACTGAAATATTTTGTAGGTCTCTTTTGTATGTCATACTGCCACCTAGGAGAGAGGAAAGGTAACTGTGGAGCAGAAAAAAAAAGTCATTCATTTGGGGATCTTTCATAGGCTTTTTGTAAGGAGATTGTGAGAACTTCTCTTTTATAGAGACTTATTTTACCCTTTTATGCAATTAATTTTCTTGCCATTTGTTTCTCAGTCAAACCATAAATTTTATCCTAAGAACAAAAAGTAACTGCCAGGTTCTCCCAAAAGTAAAATAATATGTTAATAATCTCCTGGCCATCATGATATTCTAGTGCAGAGTTGAAGCTAGTACTTTCATTATGCAAATCCCTTTTTTAGCACTTCTTGTATATGAGCCTCGCATAAAATTTCACCAGAATTTTCTGTAAAATCTCACCATGGGCTTCAGTAGCAGTATAAAACTTCCTAAGCCAGGGTCTTTTTCCCCCCTCTTTAATTTTTATTTAACATGCTGTTATTTTAAAACTCACTTTGGTTCTTTAATTTTAAATAAGCTAAGAGGTGAAATTTATTTGTATAAGTGAAGCAGATGTTCAGTTTATAAGAGATAAGCAACTTCAGAAATGGCATTTTAGGGACTTCATTCTCTGACAAATAAGATAGAGTCTACTGCCTTTCTAGTTTTTCTGAGATCATTCTAATTAGAGTTTCCTGATGCTTCTGTGAAGTATCATGACACCTGCATTGTAATTCAGGTCAGAATGGCTCTTTGGTGAGTTTGAGAGAATCTCCTCTGGCATGAGGTGAGCAAGCTTTTTGATTTACATGCCATTGGGAAAGCTTGGGGATTGGTTTGCATGGAGATGCAAGTTCAATTCTGAATTTTTAAAATTTATTTTAAAAGTTGACTTGACAATTGGATTATTTATTGGAGATATTAACTATTCTTCCACTTTAGATTTTTTGAACTCGATTCCAGTTTTGCATTTTTCATCTTCAAATATTCATTCTATAAAAGTTTTCTTTTTTTTCCATCTAAATTCTTTAGAACAATTGGGCACCTTTATCTATTTGATTGAGATCAGTGTGTGAACTAGACACTCTAATAGGCTTGGGACTCTACATTTCCTATGGCCAACCCTAAACTTGTCCCTTTAAGCTTCCAGCTCCTGGGAATGATGTTGACGAATCATAGACATTTCAGCTCCCTTCATCACCCCTGGAAACCACCAAAAATATAATCATCACAACTGAATGAGAGAAAAAGCTCAGCAGATATTTGAAAGACTTTCATAGATGTGTTCTGGGTTGCCCCAGGAGACACAGCTAACACTTGTATGAAAAAAGCATCGAAAGACAGATTTTAGGTTTTCCTACTAGAAAATCTTTTAATCACGGTAGCACCCCAACAGGGTCATGGGGAAGATTATGAGGTAATGAGCATCCTGCTCCTAGAAGCCCTCAAAACAAAGTTGTATATTTGTTGTGCAGGGTGTGACAGAAAAGGTCCCCACACCCACATTTGGAAGAGGCATGCTCTCACTGACAAAGCTGTGATTCTGTGCATGGTCCAATTCTCCACCAGTTTCCTGCTTCCCTCCCATTGTTCCATTTGAAAGCATGCCCTGGGATTTCGCAGAACCAGTAACAGTCTTAGTAAAGATTATCTTGCTAAACGTGAGTCTTCCCATGTAGAACACTGGCTGTAAATAGGAACCTTGAAATAACCCTTTTCCTTCTGCAACCTTTGTCAGCATTTGCAGAAAGACTATTCAGTATGTTTTCTCAACATAAGGAACACATAGGAAATTTGGAGTGGGTTTATAGAAATGGATGATAAAATATTGAAAATAGAAATTGACGCTTTTAGCTTGAATAAAAGAAGTAACCCTTAATAGTTTTCAAGTACTGAGCAATATTCTCTGTTCTTCTGAAGGAAAAATTGTAAGGGAAGAAGGTTGGGATTCAAATTCTTGAGAATTTGGAGTTAGATATTAGGAAGAACTTCCTAACTGGATAACTAAGATGTAAATGATTTTAGAAAAGAAGGTTGAGTTTCAGGGAAAGAGTTTAGTTCTGTAATTGTGGAATAAGTAAAATAGATCAGGACTTCTTAAGCTGTGTTTAGTATCAGTAATTATTATTAGTGGAATTATATAGACAGTATAACAATCAATTATTTAATAATATAATGTATAATAATTAATAGTAATTATACTTGGGTTTTTAAAAGTAAATATTTCATATTCAAATACATTTGAAAACTCTACAGTTAGATAAATTTCTTGAATTTTTTTATATTCTCATGAGAGTTACACAGGATTTCTTGGGTGAGTGTTACAATATGTGATCCCAGTTTAATTGTAAGGAAACTAGAATTTCTTCTTTGGATCTGTGTTCATCACATGCTTATGTGTGTATCTCAAAGGCAGCTAATGTAACTTGTTTATATGAACCAACTCAACTTTTCATTGAAAAGAATATCATAAAGATGTTTGAGTATAAACCAACTGTCTAATTACTAGACAGCTTTCATTTATTTGAGTAAATATTTCAGTACATTTAATAAATGTTGCAATAAAATTTCAGCATATTGTGTTACCATTGCACTAAAAAAATCCAAATATTCCACATTACATCAGGGTAATTATCATCTTTTCAACCCCTGCTTCTCCATACTGTCTAACCCAAAACAGTGAACTTGGAAGTCAGATAACCAAAGGTTCAAGTGCTAGTTCTGATGCTCACCAGCTGTGTTTGCTTGAGCAATCAACTGAGCCTTATGCAGTGCATCTTGAAGCCATTTCCCTGCAGGACAAAAAAGGAACTATTTATCCCTTGGTTTCTATCTTCTGTGGGTGAAAGGTGACTCAATGAATGTCAGCTCCCCCCACTTCCAGGACGCACATGTTTGAGCACAGAGTGATTCCATCTATGTGGCCAGGACTGAATGTAAGGATCTATCCAGTTGCATCGGCACAAAGTTGAGTGAAGCCTACATGAAACCAGCCACCTCAACAGTGGCTTGAGTAAAAGTGGGTAAGTGTTGTCCAGCGCAGCATGGGTGGTGACAGAAAAGAGTCACCAAGAATAGATAATCTAGGAGTTTGGATACAAAGAGTAGAGCGGTAACTTAAGGAGATTTTCCTTAAGAGCCATAGGAGAGATTTTTTTAAAGTTTAATTTTTATAACATATATCGTGTGTCTCTTCCTCTCATTTATTGACAAATTGCAAGGTTGTATTATTTCCCAGTTGTTCACTATAGACTAGTTTCATTTGCCCATTTGTACATTGTCAGCTACTCAAAGAGAGGAACAGTTGTGTGTGTGTGTGTGTGTGTGTGTGTGTGTGTGTGTGTAAGCACACTTGTGCATGCACATGCTTTATCTCCTGTCTACTCCTTCCCCTCAGGACTGAGCACAGGATCATCTGTGTACATTGGGGTACTGAACCAAATATGTTTGTGGTATATATAGTCTCTCTGAATTTCTTTTTTTTAAATTTTTACGTTAAAGATATTGGGTACAATTCAGGGTTAGGTATACAGATAATCATTGTGCAGGTGAAATTTGAGCCTCATTTTGGTCCCCACATCACCTGGTTTGAGATCAGGTACTTTTATTGATGAAGTGTGCCTCCCTGCTCCTCCCCTAGCAGTTTCTCCTCTCTGAATTTGTTAGCACTAAAGATGCAATCCAAGTTCTTGAAATTCTAACAAATGCACACACACTGTGTAATAAAAGAAAAAGGCCTCGGTTGTAAAATATCTTAGAAACATTCTGTGCTTACTCTAAAAATGTGAGATCATGCTAATTAGCATAGTTTTTTCTACTAAACTCTTCTGATACTACTAAGTTTTTATCTTGGCTAGCATCCTTGAACATAAATTAACTAATTTTAACTATGTCAATCCTATGTTTTATTGATAGCCTCAAAATTACCCTTTAAATAAATATGTAAATATATAAATTATCGAGTAGATTTGAAAAAGAGTAAACCCAAGCATCATTTTCCATTTCTTCAGGTGTCAGAAACCTATAAGTCCATAAGTGTCTGAAATAAGGAAAATAATACACAATATCATGCTTTTATGTACATGGTCCAAGCTTTATAGTTGCAAAGTGTGTCTGTTTACACCATCTTATTTTATCTCAAAAGATTATTCCTGCCCCCAAAAGCCAATGTTTGCTAAGTGAATTTTATTTTGTTTATTTTATATATAAAATTTTATACATTTCTCAATGTACAGTTTCTGAAAGAGTTTCTTGTTTGTTGTTGTTGTTTTTTGGTTTTTTTTGGTTTTGTTTTTGTTTTTTTGAGTTGGAGTCTCACTCTGTCACCCAGACTGGAGTGCAGTGGCATGCTCCTGGCCACCACAGCCTTGACCTGCTGGGGTTCGGTGATCCTTCCACCTCAGCTTTCCAAGTAACTGGAACATCAGGCATGCACTACCATGTCTGGCTAATTTTTTGATTTATTGTGGAGATAAGGTCTTGCCAAGTTACCCAGGCAGGTCTCAAACCCGCGAGCTCAGACAATTCACTCACCTCGGCCTCCCAAAGTACAGGATTCCAGGCTGAGCCACCGAGCCCGGCCTGAAGAATTCTCTTGAAGATAAGTTAGATGTTGAGGAAATGTTGTTGTTGTTTTTTTTTTATTTGAAAACTTCATTAACTATAACTATAGTAAATAGGGAAAAATTCCCTAAGACAATCTTACCTAATTAGAGCAGTCATGCTACTTCATACTCAGATATATTTGACAAATATGAAATGTTTCCAAAACTCTTTTGAGAGAAGGAAAATGAATTTAAAATGCAACATCTTAGATCACTTAAAAATACTAATATATTTTATGACATTAAAAGAGGAAAGAGAACTTAAATCTTGAAAATATTCTTCCTGAATCATAACTAAAAGATCCAATGGAA